ACATGTGACTGATAGATTTTTTTTATATGACTACGCTTTGTTTTCTTATCGCTTAGATAAAGTATTGTTATCAGTAAAATACCTGAATCTATTGACTAAGTCCATTCAACAAAATAGAAATTCCGAGAGTTAATTGAAATCTTATATGAAATATGAAAAATATATGATAACCTTAACTTCATCACAAACACATTTTACTTCTGTATGTTTCTTTTTTTAGCTTGATAGTTATAAACAAAGCGTTGCATGTGAGAAAAAAAATACAAATTATTTGTTGCCTGCACTTAAATGTATTATTCTACGCAATAGCTTTCCTTTGCCCTACCGTTTGTTCACAATAATGATTGAATTACATTTGGAAAATAGGTAAAAACTATTATACACCATTGTAAAGCCCTTTAAATAAGGAAGTTTTTAGCAATATTTGATCAACTCAGTGGAACTCGGCAACCGATAAATAAATTGCTGAATGGTATTTAAATTTTTGTCGATATTAAAAATAATTTGTTTAACGAAGAAATTTAAATAGAATATTTTCCATACCCCAACGGTTATGTGTTATATATATTTAAAATTTTGAGAGGATTCTGAAAATGACATTTAAATTAACAATTAGTGCATTTTTAACAGAATACTATAACCTTTTTCATAACAACTACAATAATTTTTGAAAAATCTTAATTTATTTGTTATTCTCTAACGGTTGAAGTTGGGAACCAACCTCAATGTGCATCATTATGTCGCCATTACCATGTAGATTGATGCAAAATTTTATCTAACACTTATGACCGGACACCTGTATATATGAACATGCATATTTTTGAAATATGCAATTCATATACACATACAGTAAACAACAGGCAGAATAAGTGAACATGAGAGGTGAAGGTAAGACCATTAAAAGCATGCATGGTCTTTATCAAACTATTACCTTATGTAAGCACACTGGAAAATGTACAACTACAATACTGTTCATTGAAAGGAAATGTCAACATTTTTAAAAACGTTTCTTGACAAATTGATTCATAACCAAGACCAATATTGGTGTCAGTTTTCAAAATTGTTTAGAAGGAACTTGCAGCAAATTATTTAATACAATGTTTAGGATGCGCAAAGTATTTTTTCTCCACAAGAACAGAATATAGGAGACAATTAAGTTTATTTTTTTTTTTTTTTTAAGGGCCGGACTACACGAGCGTATGAAACGCCGCCGATTGTAATCGGACAACAACAAAACCGGATAAACAATCTGACTTGTTGTAATTGGAGTCGGATTGTTTTTTGTGCCTTAATATATATATTTTTTTTTTGGTGAAAAAGTTTGTCTGGGTACATTCTATGGGTATTAAACATTAATTGAAACTGCCCTGTTACTAAACGACTTGATAATGTTCTGCTTGACTACCAATGCCTCTTTGCACGGCATTTCTTCTTAACAGCCAGCAACAATAGCATACCAGCTACACATCCGACCTGTATCGTGTCCATTCCATATTGGAACGGTCCAAATGTCAGTAACATTGGGCGAGGAAAGTCGGCGGCGTTCTATACGCTCTTGTAGTCAATGGTCTCGCGGCTCGCGTTCAATACGCTGCTGATTGTCGGCTTCGTGTAGTCCTAGACATTTTTGCGCGTACTATCAGCGGCGTTTCATACGCTCCTGTAGTCCAGCCCTAAGACGATTAGAAAGGGGAAGTGATTTTTTTAGAACTTTTCAATTTGGTATGAGTCTCAGATTTACAAAATTATGGGTTTCAGAAACGTCCAGAGCCAATTTAGTAAATTTACCGAATAAGCTATTGAGTGAAAATTTAAAAACGTACGTTTTCATGTCCCTGGCCTTTTACTTCGTAGATACTGGATTTGTAGTTTATTATTATGTGTTTTAATATTTTTTGGGACGGGGGCAACATGTTACACACATTTATTTGGTTTTAAATAGGTTCTAGGTATTTTTTTCGTATTTTTAAAGTCTCGAAATTCACGACCATGACGTGTCCCTAGGGTACATTTTCCAACTTTCACGCTGTTTTTAGACTAATTATTCTTGCCGAAATATATAAAGCCATATTTTTATGTCATCAATGGTTATTAAACTTACAAAAAAGGAGCATATTATCATTTTATTGTCATTGCAAACTGACTACCACGACAAAATAAGTCTGTCCCTCGATTTGGCGTCACGACCATTTGGGAAAAATGTTCAACTTTGGAGCACGACAGTGGCAAGCCTAGCGTCGATAGAGTCAGTTGGTTTTAGAGACTAGTTCGGGGTGTACGTCAGGATTGTAGTCCCGGTCGTTTCGAGTTGAAAGGAGGAATTACAAGATTAATAAAGGAAAGATTGTGTTTTTTGTAATTTTGTTGTGTCCATGACCGTACGTAGTCATTCGATGAAGTAGACATGGTGTTAATTTTTGTTTATAAGATATTTCAATTGCTAGATTAACCTAAGAAGTCCACTTTGTATCCTTGAACATGAGGTGCAGGGCTACCGCCAGAACAGAGCCAAATAACACGTAATTTCACGACCAAAGTTTCACGACCATCACAGGTTTTTTCACAACCAATCCAGCCTTATGGATTATAGTGTGTTTGGTTGTGACAATAACTTTAATATAATTGTAAATTGAACAGTTTAGTTCAATTGAATCACATATTTTTATTATAACTAACAGTATAATTGAAGGATTGTTTAGAAAGATTTAGATTATTCCAGACAATTCACGACCGTACCGCTTGTCCCTGACCATCACATTTATGATTTCTATTATATTCAAAAATTTAAATATCGTCATATTTCAATGTTTTATACACAAACGAAGCACACTTCTATACAAACATAACGATTTTTCGGGTCTCAGGTAAGTTTTTTCGGAGTTATACAAACTTAAAAAGATTCTATTGGCTTTTTTTCAATTTTTTGAGTTTTTTTCTTTTTTCTACAAAGACCAAATATACAAAAAACTCAGTGACCTTTTTATTGTATAATGGTCATAAAAGTAAATTAGTTTATAGCAAAACATAGTTATAAAAATAATCTATTTTTAATATTCATTTAAACGTCCGTTATGGTCGTGACAGGATTTTGTGTTTTTCCACTAAAGATGCTCTTTAAAAAAAACTACCAAAGATATTGCGTTACCATGGACATTTTATGAAACTTCAATTGTTAATAAAATAAAAAAATAATAAAAGTTTTGAAAAAAGGGAAAAAAAATTTGCAAAGTGCTTTTCCTGAAAACGTACGTTTTTAAATTTTCACTCTATTACAGTAGGCACAGAGAAGTAAGATACAGAGGATACATGCAATGGTACACTTAAATAGTGGCTAGCACCAGTCGCTATGTCTAGTTCAAATTCTATTGGTCGTCCCCTTCCGCTCCCCTCTACCCACTCTCCATCACGTACTTTAGCGCTCACGCTGTAGGAAGAGCCTGTGCGGTACAACTGCTGTTGTAAACAATAAGTTAGCTGTTCAGGCTCTTCCTGGCTCCTCGGTACTAGTATATTTCTGCCTTCTGCCCCAACATTCCGAAGAACTGAACCCAGGACCGATTTACTTTATCGTTTTGAGCTCCCAGAGGCCAAAAACACCATCTGTTCAAAATCATATATATGTACATTATATGTACATATATGGTTGTACATTAGTTTACGTCCTACATTTACTATTATACATTAAACATCAAAATTCACGACCATCACGTGTTGTTTTTAGACTTATTATTAGAATTATTCATGCCGAAATATATAAAGCCATATTTTGATGTCATTTATAGTTATTAAACTTACAAAAAATGAGCATATAATAATTTTTTTTTTCATTGCAAACTGACTACCATGAAATATAGGTCTGTCCCTCGATTTTACGTCCCAAAAATAATATTTTTTTTATATTTTCTCAGTAGCTCTCACATTCCTTCCTGTTGGATCAACATTCCATAATATAGCCTTATCAACCTATACACAGTAACACCTATACAGAGTTGACTATACACAGTGTTAGTCGTTAGTCAAGGTCTTAATTTAATTTATTGAAAAGTTCTCATTTAGTGGGCACGTTTTTATATGATTTTATTGTAAAATAATATTAGCTAAAAGGTTAAATATAAAAAATGTCTTACAAATTTATTTACTGATCTAACTAAATTAGAGTTGCCTTTATTCCAGGGCAATTAATTATTCATAGTTAAGTATATTAAATACGAATCAGTTAAAATGGCAATGCCACTACATTTAACCTTCAGAAATATGTTGATGTACATATTACAGTACCTAAAATTATTATGATAAAGTAATTCAAGGCTACATTATAATAACTTACTGAATCAAAAGCAAAGTTTTAGTTGGGCTGATATGCAGTATTCCATCAACAAATTTGCATAAATCTTTATTGACTTTTTTCTAGGTTGCCTTGGGTTAGTTTATTTTAAAGCAACAATAAGGTGCTTTTTACGATTTTATAAAAGTTATGTAAAATATAAGGGTAAGAACTATTATACTGTTCCCTCCCATTCCCAAGTAAGGTAATTAATATAAAAAATAATAGCTTTATACTGTAAAAACCCTTGTTCTGATAACCCCTACTATGTGCTTAAAAAAAATAAAAACTGCAAAAAAATGTACTCCATAAAATATGGATATTTAGGGTATTGGAATTTCTGCACATTTTTCAACATTATTGATGTGGTATTTGAGAGTTGCGAAGGAATTAAAGGGAAATGCCTGACCGCACGAAAGAATTTGCCATCGATATATCTGTCTCGTGTAACCAATTAATCCTTCAAAACACAGTTATTCATAGGAAGAGAAACTAGAAACTACACCAAGCGCAGTGAATGGTTTGGCATAGGCGCGCAGGTTAGTTTGCTTGCTTGCTGCGCAGTACAGTCTTGCGCATTGGGCTCGACTCCACAGTCCACAGGTGGAATTGCTGGTATGTGCGACGTGCGATGCTAGCGCTAGCGCTAAGTTGACAAAAACGGCTACTAGAAAGTAGTTTTACCACCGACGGCGACTGCCAACAGTATAGACTATAGAGAAGGAAAGACGTGTGTCATTTGTACGAATTTAAGTTACTGTTGATTTCTTATTTGTTAGTATCCAATTTGTGTGTTATAGTGAGTGATGTTATGTGAAAGCAAGACATGAAGGTGTAAATATTAGGTAAGAACATAAGTTAACGTAAACTTTATCAAAGTATGTTTTCTTTCCTATTTACATTTACCAAACCAACCAGGTAGCCAGTCAGACAAATTTTAAAATTTATTTCTTATACTTTATACCCTTAATTATTCAACTTACTGTATTTTTAAATATGCTTATAAAAAAGTATGTTTTGGTTTAACCCGTTTTTTTGTTATTGTAGCACTGCAGTAGCAGACCAATAACTACTAACCAATAACAAGGGCATAACATTGAGTTGAGAAACAAGGAATCGTCTGCTACAAGTTTTTATTAATTTCAAAACATTATGGTCAGTCAGTCAATGACATTGGGCTACACAGATCTAATCTCAAATTATTAAACTTGCGTATTTATTCAATTATTTTCTATCACATTTGTACAGAATATGAGTTGGAATGTATACCTGTGGACAGCTTGCTTGATTAATAGTCAATCAGCACGCTTTTGCTGTTTTGGCCTCCACTCCATTCATGGGTGAGGCATACCGTTTTGAGATGGCATTCCAAGCAGAATTGCACATCTTGCAACAATAATAATTGCGCATCCCACTCCCCGCAATCATTTTGATGCAAGAATGAATCATTTGTCCTAATTTAACGCTAAAATATTATTCTTTAACCATTCTACATGTTAACTTGTCCTCCTTTTAATGTAAGATTAATTAAGTATAAAACTTATGTTAGGTAGGGCCTACTTCATTACCAAGGTTATCCTGGGAGAACCTTGAATGTGGAATCTAACTCAAAATAATATAGGTACCTACAGCTAAATGTCAACATTAGTCTAGCAGTCATTGAAATACAAGTGTATTAAGTTAGGCTTCAGTATATAAATATTAGTTTCAAAAGCCAGCCTGTTAGGCATGAACTGGAGCAGTTTTCAGATATTTATCTTAAGAAAAAGGGACAATCTTACAAACATTATGACAGAGCTGTAAGTTTGCTATAAAATATATAATTGATTGAAGTTACCCAACAAAAATAGAAAAAATAAATGTGCAAGGTATAAAAAAGATACGGTAGCCTAAGTTAAGTTATTTTAATTTTCAATAAGTTATTTAAATAATGAAATTATAGTAAACTAAGTTTAAGTTAAGTTTTTATTTCTGAACCATAAATTAAAAAAAATAAAAGTCAAAATAAACTTAATTTGGGCATAGTTTCTTAACTGGGCGACGCTAATATCCATTGAAAAAAAATCAATTGAAAATAACTTATTGTTTGATAATTCATAATTTTAATTATAGGCTATCAATTATAAAATGAAACTGTCATAACCTTATTGCATAACATACTAACCAAACTTGCTGATAATGAAACAATTGAATGAAGGCTTAATAATCGAATCGATAGTTTCGATCGATGTTAGCGTAGCCCAGTTAAAAACTGTACAAGTTAACTTACTTGCTTTTAAAATTAGAAATACTTAAAACTTTTCCAATGATAAGATTGTAAGTTACATGTTCTAGAGTTCATAGTTTATAAGTAGGTTACAAGCTTATTTTTAAGATGGTTTTTCTCTGATCTTGATTTGAGGTACTGGTAACTTAGGACTTAGGAAATTATAGGAATGGTGGAGAATAGAGAGGAGTAACTTACAGTAAACTTATTCATAGCTCAAGAAAGATTTTGCACATAACTTACATCAGTGCTCGATTTGTGGGGGAACGTGGCGGAACAGAGTTCCGGTACGGTACCTCTCTTTCAGAAAGATTAAAATATTGGCATAGTTACAAATAACATTCAATAGGTTACAGTTCCAGCACCTCATTTTTTACAAATCGAGCACTGGCTTATAATACATAAAATTTATGGTAACCTTCTCAGTGCACCCTCAGAAAATGATTTTTTTTCATAATGTAGGAAATAACGCCCTGATTCTGAAAATGATAGTTTCCCCCCCCCCCAAAATATCAGAAAAGCGGAAAAACAGGAAAAATGTTTTTTACTCCGAAATCGGTCATGTTCATTCTAATTGACCAATAGAGCAAGCTGAACAAGAAAATGCAAGAATTTTCAAGATCCAAACTTTTTCTGTGTTAATCCTTAAAAGAGCATGGAAGTATTAGAACTTCTTTAATCCGAACCCCCGTAATCCGAAATCCGAAATTATACACACTACAGTAGTTCTTTTTTGTGTACAGTAATTTATTGATTAACGCACCGTAATTGTTTCTTTCTATTGTTTTAATGTAGCCTACAGCACTGTTTATTCACTATATTTACTAGGCCTACTGTATTAAATAAACACTATTTTACTTCAAAAAGCATTTTTCAATTTTCCTGTAGGGTAGCAATTACGATCCATTTTAGCCACGTTTTAGCTATTTTTGTGTAAAAATAACAATAAGTATGTTCTTTATTTCAAACTATCCAATAGTCCGAACTACCCCCTGTCCCAATTAGTTCGGGTCTACTGTTAGTAGGGCTAATTTAATTTAGACTAGGCCTAATTTTTTTTGGGATAGGTTTCAATAAGATGGCGGTTTTTAGCAAATTTCCCATACACTATAAGAAATAATCTATTAGGCCCTACTTTAGGTCTCACGGTAAGACATCGACCCGGGACCGATTTACTTTTTTGTTTTGGTGCCAGACCCCAGAGGCCAGGAACACCCTTGCACCACAATGCTGACCCGTCTCTGGTTGTAGACGGAAGTGGAAATTAAGTAAAAACTGCTGTAACAAATTAAATTGTTGATAGTCTCAAGAAATATTTTTCCGGTAGGCCTAGATGAATGGGGTTTCCCAATTTTTACCCTAAAAACATAAAATTTCACAATTTAATTCCTAACCGTTTTGCAGAGCTTAAAAAAAGGAATAATTAAGTAGGCCTATTTTGAAGAGTTAGAGGAAATTTCTAAGTTTCAGTTCTTCCAGAACATAGTTTGGATCTTTGTGAATATTCGATGAATATCGATAAACACTTTAATAATGCCACAAGGGTCTTTTTGAAGGACCATGTTAAAAGTGTTAACCAGCTGGTGGGTGGAACCCTCTTAACCCATTGCCGCCGGCCTACGAGCGCTACACGTACGGCCGCTGTAGGCCCAGCAGCTGACTTACGAGTGCCGCTTGTGTCACCGCTACGCAGAGCCGTTAGTTATTTTATTATTATAATCTCCCTTTTTGTTTCTCCTTACTTTTATTATGTTTATAAATATCTTGCTTCTTGTTTTTTGTATTTACTCATTTATTTTTGCGAATAACAAACACTTTGGCTATCCAATTACCACTTTTTTGTAGACAATTTTACTGTGAACAAAATGGGAAAGAATTATTAATTTATTACCTTTTTAAGGTTTTCTTTATATAACAATTAGAGTAAAAGTCAACAATTTCGGTAAAATTAATTGCCGACAGAGGACACTGCAGGCAGTGCATTAATTCATTCCTCAATAGGTTTGAAACTTGAAACTCTTTAGTAAGGAGCTCCAGATAACAAGACTTTGTTACAGAACAGGCTACCCAGAAAAAAAAGAAAAAAAATAGATTACCCATGTTAACTTTCAATTTAAATATTGAATTCTCCATTTATTATAATATTTTCTAGGCAAATTTCTTCCAAACCTGCCAGGATTTAAAGCATGCCTGGACTGCAGGAGAAAAGATTGGAAACGTTTTCAAGGTAAGATGCAAATTTACAAACATGAATATTAATGAACTATTAAGTTATACAAAATATTTTATGGAGACCCTAACAAACATACCATACTCATTGAGTTTAATTGTTGAGAGTCTGATATAAACGCTTAGGCCTAGCACTTTTACCGTAGTACTCATGATAAGACCTGGACGCGGGACCGATTTACTTTTTCGTTTTGAGGTCCCTAGAGACCAAAAACACCATCCGTTCAAATTCATGTATATAAATTCATGTATATATATATTTATAATTGTAATTTTATTAATTGTAATTTTTATTTAACTATGCCTCCAAGTTAATTTATAATAATTATCGTTGATAATTATTGGTAATAGCATTTTATGGCAGCCCTTCATGGTAAAACAGCAAATATTACCGATCAACTATAATTAATTAATGTTTTTATATCAACCAGCAATTTTTAAACTCGATATAAATCTCCAGGTCAAAAGCCAAAATGATGCGTTTTATAATGGGGGGCCATAACTTTTGTCCCTGAGAAGTGTGGGGAGCGGGACAACTTCCCCAACATTGAGCCAGCAATCCAAGATTTGTATATCATTAACTGTACCAGACTACAACTGATGTAACCAATATATTCAAACTCATATTATTATTATTTTAAGTTTGTTCAATTTTAAACAGTATGTTATTGTTTGGTTTTTCATCAAAGCCATTTTGTTTAATTTTATAATTTTCTGGTAGAATGAATTATGATAACCAAGATTATAACTTTGACTGAATGTTTGAAATGTAATTAATCATTAGCTACTTGGGTAAAAGTAAAATAATAGCTAAGCATAGCTATTTGAGTTTGATTAGGTAATCCTTTATCCCAGTTACACAATGCCCACTGTATATGAAATAGTTTATCTGGGCCCTATGATAAGATTAAAAATGTACTTTCCTAATGAGCAATACAGGTAGTTCAACAGAAGAGAAAAAATAAGATGGTTCAAGGTTGCTTTAAAGAATGTGTAATATAAAATTTTGCTTTATTAAAATAATTTACAAATAAACACAAGACATAGCACCAAAATAATAACTTTGCAGCCAATAGGTTGTTTTTAATAAATCATTTTAAAATACGCTCACAATTGATACACAACCTTTAATACAATAACGCCTTTGATTGCTTTTTGCCTTTTAATACACTTCGAGTGTATTATTGTGTTTCTGAAATGTATAATGATAATCTGCATTTCTTATCACTCTTACTGTAATTTATTTTTCACTAGAGCAATTTTAACTCCATCTTACTTACTTTACAGGTAGAAACAGTCTTGACACCAGTTTTATTATTTATAATTAATATTTTTTAGGGAAAATTTCTATAACTTTTGGTTTGACCTTTAACAATACCACTACCCCATATTAACTACTAAGTTCTAAAAGGAAGTTCTGAAAATTCTCTAAAATTATTTGTAAAACAATGGCTTTATCTAACCTACTAGGTATATTAGGAATGGTAGATTGTTTCATGATATGATAATGTTATCTTAAAACCCAATTGGTAAACTATTCTTATCACCTGTGGTAAGAATTGTTTTCAAGATAATGGGTGTGGTTACTCACTCCATCAGGTGAAATTCTCTCAAATCTAGGTAGGCTTACACAGTTAGTTTTGTTGGCTGATGTAAATGTTTGTATCTTAAAGTTGTGTTAAAGCTGAACAATGAAGAAATTTAAAACAATGATAGGTTAGTCTTGTGTAGTAGGAAGTTGACTAGGTAGGTAACCTTAAATGATTGTGTCTGTTTGATGATCATGTCTATATTATGTCGGAGTAAATAGGTGAATAGAAAAATACAAAATTGTTAAACTTGAGAAGTATTTGACCTCTAATAAAACTCCAAACTTTTTAATTGTCTTGAATCATTGGTCAATTATCAATTATCCATTGGCCTTTGTAAATCGACTGTGATTTGTCTATTAACAGAACTAACAAACCTAAAAATTTAACTGCATATATTCCCTTTGCTGTAACGTGTTTGTGTTATTTAATTGTGCTATGTAATTAGGTCTAGCATTATCAGAATTAGGCTAACATGATTTGATCCTTATATATTCCTAAAGTCACTTATTCTTCCTAGGCCTAAAAAGTTAATTACTTTCACTAATATTGTGTTGACCATCTCTGAATACAAAATGTTCTAAATAATTGTTGTCTTTAGTGAAATAAATAATTTAATATAAGTATTTAAAACTATGGTATTATATTTTGGATTCTTTTTCCGCAGAGGATACGCGTCCGGTAACCGGACGTGGATTAGGCGTCCGGCAGTTACTGTCATAACCTAACCTAACCAACCAAACTTGCTGATAGTGAAAAAAATCAAATGAAGGTTCAATTCTCTTCATAACATAAAATTATAAATGCCAAAAATTCTAACAAAAGATGTACAGTTAAGAAGAAATTACATTCAAAGCAAAATCTGTGACAAAAAGTTAAAGTAACCGATGGGTTTCGAACCGGGGACCTCTCGCATATCAATCGAGCACTCTATCCACTACACCACGAACACTGATGGCTGAACATCGTATCATTGTGGTAATGGCGTTCCGGGACCCCCTACCGGACGTCTAATCCACGTCTGGTTACCGGACGCCTAATCCACGTCTGGTTACCGGACGCGTATCCTCTGTGTTCTTTTTCATAATTTAATCAAATATTTGTATCGTTTCTAGTTCTAACAGAAGAGTATCAAACTCAGGAGGAATGCCTTACCACAAAACTAGTGTTCATTCCAATGGATACTCTGCCGGTAAGTAAATTTATGTTGAAAATCAGTTTAGTCCTATGTTTTTGAAGTCACCTTTAATTTCTTTACATCAGTTTTCTTCTTTTTGGTGTGGGCAACACTTAACTTCTTGGTAGCCTATTTTATTTGTTTTATATTTCATTATCTTCCTCTAATGGACAACCTAGGTAGTTAAGTGGCTATAATGTTCCTCTAATAATCAGAAGGTCCCCAGTTCAATCTTTAAAAAGTAACTTTGTTGGCTTAAAACCATTCTATACTCACAATGTATTCATGTTTAGGTTAAAATATGTACACCAATTGTGTCAATGTCTCAATAAAGTAATTTAATGAATTGTACACCCTTTCCTTTTGAACCCTGCATGCTCCATTCTACAGTTAGTTACATTAGACCTAACCTCACTATCTAACTAAAGATCAAGGTTTTGGCTGGATAACAGTTTGGCTGATAGACCGATGTTATGAATTGGACAATATATATATTTCTATATTAATATTAGATCCCAATAAGTTATACTTAAAGATCATTATTCATACTTGGTGACAGGCGGGATACTGACCACTATACTACCAAAGAAAGCTATTGGGGAAGCTAGCTGGTGTAGTGGTTAGAGTGCGGGACTTCGGTCCCTGAGGTTTTGGGTTCAAATACTATCAAATCACCAATGGATTTGATCTAAGTGATAATGCTGTGCAGCCTGAAGTAATGTGAAAATGAAAAACAATCCGGGGCACGTGCCTAATGTCCTAGGCTCACCTCAATAAATCAGATGATCAATAGATCTTTTTCACCTGCATGTCGTAGAAAAAGACCCTAATATAACAGCTTACCACTAATGTCCCCAAATAAACACATTCAACCATCTACCCCCAATGGTCTCCCTATAAATTAAAAAACTATTTCTTTATCTTAAACTTTAATTACATATTGTCAAAGTCTTAAATTACAAGATAATTTATGTGCCAATCTCTCGTGCACCTTTTCCTAGCTCGTAAATTTTATATTATACTATACTGCGACATTTGTAAGTCACTGAATAATTTGCAATGCTGTAGCTTATCTTGTTCAATCAGTATGTAGGGCCTATCCCTCAAAATAGCTCAAAAACGTCCTCAAAACCACCACTTGGACCATGTCCAAGTTTACATGGCCAGCTGCGATACAATCCCATGGTTACTTGTAAGCCTGGCCCTCTGTGAAAAAAAAGGTTTATATGGCATGAGCTGTAGACACCCTGGTTAGTTATACATTACTTTCCTTAAAAATTACTCCTTTTTAAAAATTAACTAACCAGTACCGGTAGTCATAATGTTATTGGTAAATGTTTCAAGGCAACTGTTACCGTTGAGTGGTATTTATCTAGATGAGCGAGAGGGAGGAAGTGGTGAGGATAGTCCCACCTACCTGATGGAACATTTAGCCACATTCACGGTAACCAAGGAGACGGGTATTGTCTACCCGGCAGATGGTATGCGTCGTCTACTGCAGCTGGAGAAGTCCAATGGTATCTGGTCACAGAAGATGCAGCTTCAACTGGACCGCAACTGGGTGCTCATCAAGGACTACGAGACAGGGGTGAGTGGATCCTAAGTTTGGTATTAAACCTAGTTTTGGTTTGAGGTTAAGGATTGTTTTTTTTTATTTTTTAACTTTCTTTATTTGTATTAAGTAGGCCTAAATTTATGATTAGCATTATAAAATGCTGTTAAATTGATAAAATGAAAAAAATATTCCAATACTAGGCCTACTTGTAATATTTTATCTTACACTTTAATACTTTATTAAACTAAATGATAGAAAGGAGGTTTCAGTGACTATTGATTTTGATCAGTCAAGATTATGCCCAACAATCTCCGACGTCCAGTCTAATTAGCAACTGTTAGGCTTGACGATAACTGATCAAAATTAATAGCCATTAGAACATCATTTATATACATATATTTGTATTTACCGCCTTCTGAATTATTGCAGCACAAGTGCTAACATATCAAGAGTAGTGTTAGAAGTAGGGGTCTGCGGTACAGAAAATTTAAGGTCGGTACGGTTCAGTACGGTACAATATTTTGTACCTCGGTTCTCGGTACAAAATCGGTACGGTACACGGCTACCCATATTTTTGCGGTTTTCTTCTCAGAACTGTATTTAAAACATTATTTTTAACTTTAATACATTTTTTGACATTACTATGAAAATGGATAGTATCCTACGTTCATGGTTTTCAACAAAAATTACCGTACCACACATTATTAAAACAAAACCTTTTACTACTACGAGGATTGTGTCAAGAGAAATCACAGTTAAGATAAAGGCTTTACCTATTTTACTCTGATTTGCTTTGAATAGCCATGATAAAGTGGTTTCAAAATTAGGATAAGAGTTTTTAGGAATAAACATGTTTAAAACATTTATTGATAAGATGATTTCACACAACTGGTAAATTATTTCTAACCAACACAATGTCTAGTTGTTTTTAAATTTTTTAAAACACATAAAAGCATTCAGTACGAAGACAGTGGTAGTTGCCAGCTGTTCACAGCAGACACAAAGATAAACTGGAGGTTATGATGAAGTAATGGCAAAGAGCATCTTTTTTTATCAGCTTCAAAACTAATTATAAGATGGATACAACTCTTGCAAAGTTTTTTTCTGAAACTAAAATTTGGATTATCACAGAGTAAGATTATTGTCTTTTCATTTACAAAGTTAACATCCACACATATCTATCATTAGTTTATCTCAGGCTCAATCCAATTTTATTAGTATATTTTAAAGCTCTTCCAAAGAATCAAAAGACCCAGGCCTAGACCTAATTATTTAGGAGGGCTTATATATAAATTGATTAGGTTATAATGAGAATAGAAAAATCACTATCTAGTTCTTAAGATTTAGATTGCATAAAGTACCTTTAGCACAATAAAAAATACAGGAAACTAAAAAACATTTAGCCGGCTATAGAAGAAGAGGGCTCTGTGAGGCGGAGTGACATCATTGTTATAGACAAGGAGAAAGATTTCGGTCTCATTATAGACCCAACAGTTCGTCTTGAGACAAATGAAAATCAGCCACAGGAAGTCCATGAAGAAAAAGTAAATATTTATAAGAAAACTATCCCCTATTATTCAGAGAAATATCAAATTTCAAAATTCGAAGTATATGGACTACTCATTGGATCAAGAGGAACAATTCCTCAACAAGTTGAGAAATTTTGGAAGAAATTCTATTTGGAAAATCAAGTGCTATATTTAATATCTTTAACAGCCATAAAATTTTCTATTAATATTATAAGAAACCACCTATATAACAATTATCATAATTAGGTTTAAAGTTTAAACAAACTTGCAAAATTTAATGTAATATTATTCTTTGTTCTACAGCAGACTACAATGTGTAGTAAGATTTCAATTTTTAAAATAAATTTGAATTTATATGCTAGGCTGAAAAGATAAAATTTACAACGTTTTTTTTGTGACCAAAGCATCATACTAGAATTTTAAATAACGCTGATATGAAGATGAAATGGTTATTAAAGGAATATCAAGTAACATATTGTTCTTCTATCTTTACAGCAAGTTATGGAGCGTTTCCCAGCCTCCCTGATTCAAGAGCCTACAGCATTCATGAGCAACGACCCAATGGAGATATACAACAATATCTTGGTTTTCATTGTCGGGGAAGAACGACAATCCAATTCTCACTCAGAGATGCACATTTTTCAGGTATGTACAGGGTTTATAGTTCATAACTTTAAGCTTTATTTATTAACTACAGAGTGATTAATTTGGGGGTTACAATTTTAAGTTAGTAACACTGTTTTCTTATGTAAGATAATTAACTCATGTTTTATTTAGATCGGTTTTGTTGATTTTATGTTCTTACGGAACTGTATTCTATTGAACAACGTTTTAAACTACTAAAACCTTGGTGCGATTACCTGTAGTCAATGAAGAACGCTATCAGATCATGATAAGTGATTATTTTTTGTCGGAAGTATTGGGTGGTAAAATATCATCGTCTCCTCCAACCGTGGCAAAACCGATGTGTGGTGAAGAAAGATGTTCACGATTTCGTTGTGAATGCTAGAAGGAAGATGATTTATATTAACCACAGAAGATGTCCACGTTTTTGTTGTAACCTGGGAAGATTTTTATGAAATCGCCGGGACTACTCTGGCTATTTCAAGGTTTTGTCATCCTGATTCTAGAAAATGGCTTCAAAGATGCAAGCTTTGATCATTTTGTCATGGTTGCGGGTGATGACCATAGTTTTGCTGGGATTTCGAGAGATTACGATGATGTCTGTTCACCATTTTACGACCACAGAAGGTGTTGTGGATTGTATGTCAGCTTCGTACTAATGTTATAAATAAATAGTAATTTTCAAACTTTAGTTCGGAGCAGAGTTTTGTAATAGGGGAGTTTGGAATAGTGGGACTCTACTGTACGTTCCACCATATATTGAGTTATGATTCATGTTAATATTTTCTCATTTGATTACAGTGCCAGAGTATTTCATCCCTGGAGCTAGTAGAAGACCTGAAGCTGTTGCGTGTAGGCAAGATGCCTGGAGGTCGACGTACTCGTCACATTCCTCCCCCACCCCCCACCCCTCCGCCAGATCCTCCAATAAACGGTGTCAATGTGCGAGAGCAGGTCAACGTTTTCAATGCTGTATCTCATCGTGAGTATATTTTAAATATATTGTATAATTTTATCCATAAATGTTTTGTGTGTTTGTCAAAAGGAATTTCTAATTTTATCTGAAAGTTAATGCTAGTCATCAAAACTTCTGCGATTGCAGTGAAATCATAATCATCTACATCATCTACATGGGTGGTAAACAAAAAGTAATAGATTACACATTTGGCCCACGTTACGAAGACGGTAATGTGTTAGTGGTTGGCAGTGAAAACTTAAACTATGACCATAAAGGCAATATGAATAGATGTATTGGTAACGTTAACTATGGGGCGTCTGAAGGTCTTTATGAACTATTATCTAAGCGATTACCTGATAAAGATAATCAAATCCTTAGCGGCGACGTAATGAATCATGTGCTATTGAAACGATGTCATTAGTTTTCAGTCTCCCAAACTTTATAGACAAATTATGTGATTACTTTAGAGTCTTGAGATACCTGTCAAGAAAAAAATGTTTTAATTATTAAAATACCACAGAAAAAACGGAACTCAAGTTCTGGACAGTCTATGTTGAACCAAGAGTTGGTTAAGTCAGGTATTGCTCAATGGCGCAGGGGCCGGTTCATTATTGCTGCTCGACTGAGTTAACACTAAAGGGTAATAGAGAGCCCAAAAACAAGAAGTTATTTTCCTTATGCAAGACCTGTCCGTGGAATAAGGTCTCCACCCGTCACATCCAAGCGAACTGGTTCGAATCTGACACCAACGTCATGTTCCTGCCTTCATTCACTACTATTCTATCCAGTTCCCAAACCGAAACCTTATGAAACAATTGGTCCCTTCATAAACTCAAAAATATTGTGAAATATAATTGACACTCCCGCTAAGTAGAAATCGTGTTCTATAGGCCTGATAACATTTTTGTTTTCTCAGTTGTCAACCACAATTGGAATCCATCACCATTTGACGGACATGAATGGAATAGTGTTTGACGTAAAACATGTGCGGAAGGTGTGAAGAGAGTTTAGAAGTGGTCTTTCACAATGTTTTCTTTTGTGTAGGCCGACTGCTGCCGTTTATGTTTTGTTTGAGGCAGTAACTGAAGTTAGTGGAATTTATCATGCAAATTGCCGCGTGAATGAATGAAAGAGATTGTTGAACTGATAGAGGACATATCAATAAAACTATCATGGACTACATTAAGCTCTGAAAGTCTGAAACACAAGTATCAGCAAGCAAAGTTTCCTCAAATTTATTTACTTTCTTGGGGGAAACTGATAAACGGAAGCGTTTCTCAAAGTCCAAGTTTCAAAAGTCCAAAAGTAAAAATATTAGATAACCAGAACCCACTACCGGCGGGTAACTTACCGGCGTTGTGTAAACTTGTAGACTTCGGCAAACTCCCATGCATCCTTTTAAACCCCATCCTTTAATGCACATTTACTACGTCAAAACACTTTGCTGCACACACATCAGTCAACTGGCAACAGTAATCAACAGGGATTGATCCACTTAATACATAAAATTAATCACAGATACATAATTGGCAGGAGCGTCAATTTTCAATTTAAATCATTCATTTAACTTTTAAAAACTATTATTATAATGATACGATCGTTATAGAGACATATTTTTGACTGTTGAGGAAAAGTAGTAGTCCCCTTGCTAGCTCTGCCGATTGACGAAATGGATGGTTGTTAGTTGAACATTTAGTTAACACTGGACCCTGAGTTTGGCGTCTGTTGACTTCATGTGGTAACATGGCTGTGATTTCCCTATACTGAACCACTTGTTTTTTATGTCCCCTATAACGTGCGATTCCACCTGTGCATTAGTTCCTTGGCCCGTATCAACTTCACAAACAGTATGCAATGAGAAATATATTCATAGTTTTAGTGGGAACCATGTCTTTTACAATATGTTTGATGCTGAGTAATTCTGATGTGTAAACACGTTAACAGTTATTAATATTATTGTTATATTGATGCTGGAGTAGTGTTATTATAGCGTTTAATTTTCAATTATAGCTATTAACTTTCTAGCTTATCAAAGTAGCCTTCAACATTCACTTCTAAAATGCCAAAAAAGTGTATTTTTTTATTAATTTTCTGAAAATCTGTAATTGAATAAAAACTTGTTTACAATCCACACAGGCATTTTATTAAAAATGTGATCATCATTATTCGCAAAATTAACCAAAACCTACAAGTCTGCTTATGCTAGATCCCATAGCCAGTTTAATTTGGTTGTAGTATTTTTTTTTTTAATCTAAATACGAACAGTTTTCTTTTGAGGGCCTAAAATTGCAATTCTTGTAATGTAAATAGGTAATACCTTTAGTTATGAAAATTTATCTTCTCCAATGTCACCAGCCTTGAAGGATTAATTTAAGAAAACATTAGTGACATTGTAGTATACATTGTTTAATCAAGTTACAACATTCTTATGTCAACATTCTTTTATGCACAGTTTAAAAATTGAAACTTTAGGGTGTGGCTAGTTTAGTGATAAGTGTATGGGACTTTATCCTGAAGGTTTGGTTTCAAATTCCACTGATAGAAATTGCTCTGTAATAATACTGAGAACTATTGGTTTGAAGCTTCCCATAAGCTTTATATCCACCTATGAAACAAAAACGTTAGGCATCTTAACCCTAGAAGGATCAATCACCGAAATTACAACGACTTCGTTTTCGCTGCAAGTGTTAGTCGCCGCAATAATGGCGACGTTGCAGGCTTACTGTTTCGTTCGATATAATCACGTACTATCGTACGATCTCCGTAACAATGCATACCAATGTATTCAGCATATTCTGGGCTTCATGACAACTAATGAAGATGGCTGGTTTGTGAACAATTTCTTTTGCCCTGTGTTTATGGTTTTCATAGTGACATCTTTTCGGTGTTCATATCTTTGTTTTTATAAAGTTTAGTAGCCCAATAATTTTTCAAATAAACACTATATAACTATTTATTTTCTTTTTCCTCACTTATATGTAACAATTTTGTATTTAGTGACTTGTAGTGTTTTACCACATGTTTGGTTACTCAGAAATAGAAACAAAATTTGTGCATCTTCTGGATTTGAATCCATAGAGGAGTTCAGTCTTGTAAGGTAAGGGTATTAACTTATACTAAACTATATATTTAAAGATAACCTATTTTATGTAGTTTAAGAAAATATGTATGTTATATGTATGTCTTCAGTGAAAGTTTTTATTGACGTTTACATAAAACAAAAGTTGCCTAAATACTCATTACATGTAGCCAATGACAAACCCTATTGTACTGTAAAATGTTTAAAGGATAAAGATTCTTATTCTCTTCTTATACTCTTATAATCATTTGGAGGTTGTAAATGAGACACCGTAAGCTAGAAGAAATGTCTCTCTATATGAGTTCTCCATCTACAAAAAGCCATATGATAACTTGTTCCAACATTTAAAATTGAAGCATAATGAGTGTTAAGGGTAAGTTATCCTAAGGACAAAATAACAGATTTCTAGATGATTCAATGTTTAGGGTGATTAAATGTAATCCGTGGCATTGACAACTGAAATGTCCAATTAGAGCGCAACAATTTTAATCAATCGGTTCAATGTTTATACACAAAATAATCTAGCTGTTTTAGTTGTTGATAATTTAAATTTTCACAATGAGTCATTGTTGTATTTACTATAAATCTACCAGCGGCTCATACTGGAGGAACTAATTTATTCTGATCCTTCGGTAGCTGAAACTTAGGCAAATAGAATGACGGAATAGAAAATAGTAAAAATAATGACAGTATATGGATTGTATATCTATGAAACAGTTATATATGTTAAAAACAGATTTTCTAAATTGGCGTTAACTGGTGAACACCACCACTACAATACCAGAAACAAAACCAACATTGCTTTAAACCGCCACAGATTAGAACTTTACAGTAAAAAACGAAGTTATACCGGCTCCAAATTTTACAACTAAATTCCAAATGAAATTAAATTGGTAAAAAACATGGTGGGATTTAAGAGGGGTCTTAAAACATTTCTCATCAACAAGGTAATGTATTCCCTTGATGAACTTTAAAATTTTAGAAGGAGCATTAATTTTTAATTTGTATAAACTTATGTTAGATTTTAAGAAATTTGTATCTATAGAATGTAAGAACATTGTAATATAAAATCAGTAAGAAAATGACACTATTCATGTTCTTTGTGCTTTAATGAATAAAGAAATATTGAATTGAATTGAATAGTATAGTTAGATATTGAATAGAATTGAAAATTGAATGGAATCGAATAAAAACAACGTTGTATTGCTTCAACTCGATGAACTCATCTCTTTGTTTTCTATGATCTGATCGACAAATAGACCTAAAGAGGCTAGAAGATTAGATAATAAATAATTCAATTTTTTTATTGTAATTAGGGGTGTGTGATCTTGACTTTTTTACTTCATAGCAGGTCAAAAATTGTACATTCGGGTCTCAGGCCAAAACCAGGTCGCGTTGGAATTGTATTACTTGACAATATTGATTAAAAAATGTTTATCTGTTATACTACAATTGGTTTGAGCGACCTGCAATATTTTGTACATTGTCCTTGGTTGTGATGAATTTGTGAAGGTTTCTTACATTCTCATCAAAATAATAATGATTATCTGGAATAGCAGAGACATCATGATCATATCCTGGGATCACAGTAAAATTGTTACATTTAATCGTACAATTTACACATGCTTTTACGCTTTTACCGATATCTAGAACATTTCATCCAATGATGTTACCTGAACAAAATATGTAGTGTTAGATTTTCCTAATGCAGGGCCGGTTTAACCCATTGGCGAACTACGTGGCTGCATATGGGGACTTGTTCAGCGGGATTGTTTTTTCAGAAGACAAAATCGAAATAGTATATTACGTTACTAGTCCTGAAAATAAGTGTTTACCGGACGAGTGTGGTCGTTCCCGTGCGAGACGAAGTCGAGTACGGGATTACCATACGAGTCCGGTACACACATTTTGGACGAGTTACGTACGATAGTTTACGCCATACTAC